GTATTCTTGGCAGGGGAGGCAATACTTTAGCTAAGGAGGTCCAGACTCCAATCCCCCCACCCGATTTTCACCAATTGGTAGATATAATATAATATTTTGGTGTAGAGGAAAATCTCGCAGGGGAGGCAACCGCCTCCCCTGCCTCCCCCGTGCGCACGCTTATGTATATAGGCACACAAACAATGCATGTATAGGTGCCTAATACGCCATTCTGTACAGAATATACGCATATTATTATTACTCGTATGTTACGTTCCTCGTTTAGTATATAAATGTGAAGTGTTGGTAAGATACGTAAGATACGTATCTTGTCTTAACACAAAATTATCATCATTATAGAGACCAACACTTCACATTTATATACTAAACGAGGAACGTAACATACGAGTAATAATAATATGCGTATATTCAATATTTTAATGTGAAGTACCTATATATTATACAAGTATATTCAGTAATTTAATCAATTACGTGATTTTTTACACTGCMCAATATTTACTTGTACCTGCATGTACATAATTTGACTGAATGATAGCTATTAGGTTACTTATATAGGTACTTACGGTTTTTCCATTAAATCCTAAGTTTTTTAAATAAGTCCAAATCGCATCCTATATATTATTATATCATCGAATTCGACGGCGCAGATTTAAAGAGGATGTTGTTGTCTCGCATGCGAGTAAGATTATTTTCTCGCTTATGTAGAATATATATATATATATATATATATATACCTAGCATATATAGGTACAAACCAAACAACTACAAAAAAATATCGTTGTTTATAAACAATTGCGTGTAGTGTAGTAAACAAATCGTGTTTCCGTTATATACGCTTGTGTACAACGTGACATGTATATACGTATTGTTGTAGGTACCACACTACCGTATGTATTGTGTATATAGTAACGACACACCCTGTCTGTAACTGATTATCGTCTATACTTTAATAATATGTATAATGATGTATAGCATTATGTTACACACACATAAATAGTATGTATTTTAGACACTCAAAAATAAATTACATCAGTGACAATAATATTGTAATAATCGCGTATAATTAGTATCCAATAATAATATCGGTATATAATATATATATGTATATAATAACGCGTTATAAAGTTAACAATATGTAATGATGCAGTGCTCACTGCTCGTAAAGCTGTTGTTCGTTGGTTTAATACGTGATAGTGTCGCACCTACACACACATATTACGATATGTTAAGGAGTAAGAACATTGTTACAATGTAATTTGTTCTTCTTCATCCATTCTTGAAAATCGTTTGTTTGAATGAAAAATCGCACGCTATATATTATATTCGAAGAAACGCTAGCAATTTGTTATGTGTAGTGTGTATACTTATACTACACTTATACTAACCTATAGGACAATTCCCCCTCCCCTAAAGTAATCATAAAAACAATGTAAACTTCCCTACCTAACGTTTCAAATAGGGATTTTAACTTMTAATATTATATTTTTGTTAGGATAATAATATAGAATCACAAATCAAAGATTTTTATGAAAATTATTAGTATTATTTGGACGTAAGAATATCTAAAACTTTTTTTTCTTAATTATTAATTGCCAATAATTTATTTACTAAATATTTTGGTCATTATAGTTTATTTTTAATTAATTTTAACACATAGCTCTCTTTATTATTGGACTGAAGAGACAATCAATAATAAAATAAAGTTACCTACATAAATAATTATAATTGGAAATTAATTATGTTTTATTATATTCCATATGAGAACAAAATTAGGTACAAAAAAAATATCTTCATATTTGCATAAAAAATCTAAGTATTCTATTCCGCAGAAAGTTGCCAGGTCTGACAATATTGCCTTCTTACATCATGTATAGATGATATTATACTTACTACTATAAATCATTTAGGTAGGTACTAGGTACTACAATTTGTGATTGTCGAATTCGGAGAGAACAAGACGTCTTAATAATCTGGAGACGCGTTATAATCATTCACTATTAACAGGAAATGTACCTATAATATAACTATACATTTATATCCAGTCCAAGTACTCGTTGATAACATTATTCATTCTGATTCTAAATTTCTGTTGTGTCGTATTTATCTTGTCACTGCAATCTTYACGCAGTGGCGTAGCCAGAAATCTCTCAAGGGAGGCGCCCACCAGATATAACACCAAAATCATACGTTTTAGTATATTATATTTTATCGGCAATTAAACAGCAACTGAAACTGAGCAACGCGTGTGCGGTATCGAACGGTTCCAGAGAAACAGTCTAGTCTAGAATCTAGATACAATAA